AGGACCCATCAAAAGATCTTCTCCAAGGACCCCCCCCAGGATCCCCTCACAAGGACCCACCCAAAAATCCCACCCCAAGGACCCACCCCAAAACCCCACCCACCCAAAAATCCCACCCCAAGGACCCATCTTTTGATCCCCTCACAAGGACCCACCCAAAAATCCCACCCCAAGGACCCACCAAAAGATCCTCTCCAAGGATCCCCCCCAAGGATCCCCCAAAATAAAGGTCCCCTTCCCCCCCAAAAAAGGGTCCCCTCCCCACCCCCCACTTCCCCACTGAGAAGAAGTTGGATTCAATCCCACCTTGGACTAAAAACCTGGATCAACCCCCCTGAACGTTCTCCCCCCTTGGCCACCAAGACCTCAACCCACCCCCACAAGGTCCCTCCCACAGCCCCAAAACTTGAGTCTTTCCAGCAAAACACCCCCAGAAAACCCTTTCCCTTCATCCTTGAGGGTCCCAACCCCCCCAGGTGACCCCCCCCAAGAGGGTGGGGACCCTCCCAGCAGGGCTGGGACCCCAGGACCCCTCACCATGATGTAGGCGTTTCGGTTGAGGAACTTGATGAACTTTTCCAGGCACCAGAAGCAGCACTTAAGGCAACACATGATGAACTTGGTCAGCTTGTTCTCTACGTCTGGAGAAAGGCCCAGAAGAGGAAGGTGAGAAGGTGGTGCCAACACCTCCCTGGGTCTTTTTCAAGGTCCTTTCCAACCCAAACCATCCCATGACTCAAAACTTGCACCCCTGGGAAACGTCTCCTGGTTGGGAGAGGTGGGACCCAACAAGGGAGAAGGTTCCCCAACCAAAATATTGATGTTCCTTCCCTTGGATGTTGCCCAGGAGCTCCTGGCACCGTGACCAGCAGAAGAACCCAACCTGCTCTGCTGCTTGTTCAACCCTTCCAGCCCTGGTACCTTTCAGCTTGTGGTCCAGGTACTCCAGGATGACCCTGATCACCTGGACGACGGCGAGGATCAGGGAGCCCAAGGCAAGGGAGCCCGTGTGGTACCTGGGGGAGGTCAGGGAACCATGGGATGGGTTGGAGGGACCTTGAGGACCATCCAGTTCCAACCCCACCACGGGCAGGGACCCCTCCCAGCAGCCCAGGTTGCTCCAAGCCCCATCCAACCTGCCCTTGGACACTTCCAGGGATGGAGGAACCACCTTGAAGACCATCTATGGATCATCCAGGGGGTCTTCAAGGTCCCTTCCAACCCAAACCATCCCAGGGTTTGAAGATCATCCAGTCCCACCCATTGCCATAGGCAGGGACCCCTCCCACCAGCCCAGGTTGCTCCAACCTGCCCTTGGACACTTCCAGGGATGGAGGAACCACCTTGAAGACCATCTAGGGGAACATCCAGGGGGTCTTCAAGGTCCCTTCCAACCCAAACCATCCCA